ACTTTGTTTTTCGAAACCATCTTGCCGTAGTAAACGTATGAAGTTCCCCTAGGTAGAGCTAGTCATTACGGATTATTGTGCCCATTGCATACCATAAAAATTTAATTTGCGACCTACAATATTTACAAACTCAATTAACTCTGAATAAGTGGACCACTTGGCATTAAAGATTGGCCTCACCATGACTGTCTGCCAACATCTACATAATAATTTCCATGAACCTATGTATTTCAAGAAAATATTTGGTGCGAGCTGCTTAAAACACAATAGCACTTTTTAACAAGTGCTGATTGTTGGGCAAGTTGGTACGGTACGTTAGAAAACATGATTGCGCTTTGAAGACGGGGACATAGGAAGGACAGACACCACAGAGTGCTAACTTTCAACTGATTTAATTCAAGAACCTCAGCGTAGAAACACACTGCGTCACCGCACCACATCTCAACCAACAAATTAAAGTTACCGTATTTACTCGAAAATAGGTCGAACCCTATTTACTGGGTCCATAGAGAATAAAAAAAAAAGTAATTAAAATATTTCGACTTTTTTTTTTATTTTTAAGAACAGGGGAAATTTTGGGCAAAAGAAAGAAACAAACCTTTATTTACATCACTCTCAGCTAAATCACGGGGCGATGCCAAAAACTTCATCACCGTCAGAACTTCTGGACATGTCATCGTCGTCCGAAGCTTCTTCAGTTTATTTATTTATTTATTTATTTATTCATTCTGCCAGCCGTGAGGCCAAGGCAGGAGTGGTACATATTTTCAAAAACATACCAAGGACACACAAATAATTCAATAATTCAGTCACATCACTTGGTGACATGGGAAGAAAGAAACATTTCAATTTCCTTCACAAAAGTTGACACACTTAGAGAGTTGACTATACATTCAGGCAGCTTATTCCAGAAATCAATACATCGAACAAAAAAGGAGTGCTTAAAATGATCCGTAGAGTATTGATAGGATTGGATATTTAAGCTATGTTTTATTCTGTGGTACACCGGAGGAGACATCACGATGTATTTTCGGGTATCCAACATCGAATGACCATGAAATATCTGAAAAAACAGTTTCATTCTATTCGTTTCTAATCTGGTAGACATCCTCGCGTATTGGCAGCAATACTTCACTGACACCGTTGTAAAATGACGACAGGAAACGAAAGAAGGTGCGAAGCGACGGAAGACAAACTACAAAGACGCAAGCAAAGCCGCCGTGTCGCCATGAGCAACACGCGAGCCGAGCCGCCTCAAGCAACTAACAAAAGTAACTTTTTTTTTTTTTTTTTTTGTGCGCGTTTGCAAGGATGGAGGGTAAAGTGCGTGGCGCATCGCGTTCCTCTCCTTCCCCGTTGCCCAGCAAGGGGAACGCTAGAGGCGCGATGTCGACATCCGACGCCCGAGGAGCGGCACGGGCCACCGCGGGCGGCGAGCCATTTCGGTTACCAAAAGCTTTTTGAAACAAGAAGCGGCGCGGCTCTACGGCAACGCCGGCTCGGTGACTCGATAGCTTCATGCCTCCGGTAGGGTCGCGAAATTTGGTCGCGAATACAGGTGTCGAAATTCTTTAGTCACAATTTCCGAAAAAAAAAAAAAAAAGAAAAAAAAAAGAGGTCGACTTATATTCGAATAAACACGGCCGCGCGACGACACACACAGTATGAAAGCGATTGGTGCGAGCGACCAAGGCGATGAGCGACGTTTTCTAGAAGAGTAAAGCTATACGCACTCCGGAGTGCGCTTCGCGCGGAAATGGCTATACGCACCCCTCCGAGAGATCATGCCGCTCGGGCCACCCTTTTCGAACGGCGCGTGAATCACTGGGGCGCTCGTTAACCCAGCCCCCCGCCTGCGTTCACGCCGCTTCGCGGTGACAGTATCGGCTGCTAATTACAAAGCGTAACCAGTACACGCCGCTTCGCGGCGTCCAGCCGGCAATCCAAGCCCCGCTGTCCCCGATCGCACCTCCGGAAAGGGAGTCCGCTACCATTTAGTTCTGCGAAGTTTCTCGACAACATTCGATTTTTTTTTTTTTTTACTGTTTATTGCAAAAAAGGAAATATCGTAAATATCGCCAAATGCCTCGACAAAAACAAAATGTCTGAAAAAAAAAAAAAAAAAAAGTTGGCCCACCGCGGATCGAACCCGCGACCACTTGCGTACGAAACGGACATCCTAACCCCTATGCCATGGCACCGCTTAGAATCTCGTTGTGTCCACTCTTTTTATACAAGAAAAGCGGAGTGCGTATAGCCATTTCCGTCCGAAGTGCACTCCGGGGTGCGTATAGCTTTACTCTTTCGAGTAGCCCAAGAACCGAGCGGCGCAAGCAGCGGGAGTGAGAAATCTTCGTCGCTCGGCGCCGGCACTCGTAGCTTCTCGCCGTCGCTCGTCTCGTTAATCGCTATATTGCTTACATGCCGTTCAGAAAGGCGCTCTAAGTGCTTACCATTGCATTGGGACCAGCCTCGCATCCAACCGTAACCAGTCTTGACATTCTTTAAAGCCGCACAGGTAGAAGTTAACATCGTACATACATCGTTTTCAAGCATGGCTCCTCGTTCATTGCTCGATTTACATTTGCGGTAAATGACAAACCGCAATGAAGCACAATTATTCTAGTTCAAAATTGTCACGAACACTTGGCACGCATGCTTACACAGTAGCGCACCAAACGTAATTTAAAAGTAGAACGAAAACGGGACGAGATTCGCTTACCGTTTCACGGAGACAGACGCCTTCGGATCCCAGGCCTAAAGAACTCGGAAGTCGCCGGCGGTCCGGAGATCGGACGAGGCGAGCCGACCGCGCTGACCCAGGCCGACCACACCTGGTTGAACTATGAGAGGCGCCGTCGAGTTTAGAACCAGAGACGCAGTAGAAACGGACCGCAAAACATCTGTCCCGTAACCGTAAACGAGCCAACGAACCACATCGCGCTATCTTCGCCATTGTTCGCCATCTCCGCGACGACCGGAAGTGGAAGCCGCGAACTTAGAAAAGCCGCGGCAGCGGAAGCACCGAAGCCACTGGGCGGAAGCCTTAAGTTTCGGTTTCGGTTTCGGTTTTCTCCAACGCCGGCTACGGTCGCTACGGTTGCGGGCTGGTGAGTTTGTGGCTGGTTGCGAGGACGCGAGGGGCCACGAAAAGACGCCGAGTTTGCCGAGTACGAGCAACGGGCCGTTTGCCGCTGTCGACCGGCGATGCGGTATCCGCGGCTTGGTGTTACGATCGGTTTCTTGCCGTGCACGTTAACTCAAAGCTCGAAGTTCCGCAGTTCCGTTCCGGCACCAGCCGCACCACGTTTTCCGGTGCATCGCACGTGGAGTCCTTTCGACGCATTCAGTGAAAGTAAAGATCGTGTCCGCTGTCTTCGGTGCTGTGGAAGAAGTTGCGAGACGGAAGAAGCATCAAAACCAAGGCGTTTAGGACTCCAGGCCGGGCCGCCGGTTCACTCTGAACGAGAGGCGACGTGTGTGCCCACGCTTTGAGGAAGCCTCCGCGTTTCGCCGCGCCAGACCTCGCCGATCGCGACAGGACCAACCGGACCCCGAGTCCGAGAGGCTCTTGCGCAGCCAGGAACGGCACCGAAGTAGGAGCTGCTCGTTCTGCGCTACCATGCAGTGCTCTACAGTGCTCGGAGCTCTCGGGTGTCATTCGTGCTTGCACTGAAGCCATTGTGACCCCTTCGGACGCGCAAGTCGTACTTCGCAAAGGTTTGGACGGGGCCGCCCTCACCGAGCAGCTCCGCTATATTCCGCGTACTTATGATCGCAACAAAAGCTTGCGTTTGTTCTCGGGAAAAAAAAATTGCGGGACCGCTCTCCGCGCCGCTGACGAGGTTGGCCGCCGCCATGTTCTCAGCTGTTCACTCGCTCCTGCAGCGAGCGCCTTGCGATTATCCTTCTCGTTCCAAAATGCGATGCGCTTTGCGCATTATGCCGTTTACATGATCATATATTGAATGCGGCAACTGGATTCAATGCGACTAAGTCGCATTCATGTAAACGCGGCTTATGTTCTTTTTCGACATACATGGTGTATGTACGATACCGGTGGTGAACGATGGACGTTTTTGGTGGAAGATGGCGGTCGTCTTTCTGCATGTATGATTTAGTTATACCGGTGGTCCTGTGGTGTAAGCGTTTTGTTGGAAAGAAGGCGGTCGCCTACGTCATCGGACGCAAAATCATACCAGCCACACGGAATCATATCGGCAAGCAAACTGGCTGCTAGTATAAACAGACCCGGAGCCATAGCGGTGCCGGTATCTCCAGTTATGCAGAACGCCAAACCAAACTAGCTGCATACATAATACCAAGAAATTATGTTGGTGTCATACCAGAATTGTAAAAGCGGCAGGTTTGTTTCTTGTACGTTTTTCCAATAGGGGAAGATAATTTCCTCTCAAAACAGAATTCCTAGCATGCTAGCGGACCCTTTGAAAATCCCGGTCCTCGTTTCCCATCTGGGCTCCTCCTTTCGGTTATGGAGGGACGTCATGGGAAATCCTTGAGGAATGACAGCGACAAGGCTTCCTGCGACGTCCCTAGATAAACGAAAGGAGGAGCCCAGACGGGAAACGAGAACTGGGATTTTTAAAGGGTCTGTTAGCGTGCTAGAATGCTTCTTTCGAGATTTTTTTTTTCTATTTTTTTTTATTTAGACAAAGAAAGTATGAATTTGGGCTTGTCAGGGCTTCTAAGCAAAATGACTGGAAACTATAAAAATCAAACAAGACGAGGGTACTAAAATTGAAAAATAAAATAACGAAATGATAATCACTTCTCGTGTTGTGCAATTGTAGCTGCTGGTCTAACAAGTTCTCATTTAGCTGCAGACAAGAGGCATTCATTATAAATAATGAGAAAAAAATATTAGATAAAGATACTAGAATTTGAACACTAAAATAACTAAATGATAATGACAAACTAACAAAACTTGTTCTGTGGTGTAATTGTGGCTGCGGGTCAAACAAGTATTACCTGAAGATGGGCTTGAAAAGAAAAAAATAAGCATGAATTAAAGAAGATGCACACTATACATGGATATAGATGCTCATAAAAAGTTAGGGGATGTTGCCAAGACCAGATTCCTCAAGCTTCCTGAGCTTCTCCGCCGCGTGTCATAGCCACGTCTTGATTACCTCTTCAATGTTGTGACGTGTCGTTGTGATACGGGGGTTTCTTTTTACAGCCTCTGAAAAGTTGTAAGGTTTGCTATTACTAGTCACCCAAAACCCAGAGTGCTAGCTATAGGGCGAAATCGCAGCAATGGCATGAGTATGCTCATCCCTTCCTTGAGGCGATTGAGTATTATCAGAAATACTTTCATTATTATAGCCAGCCAACTGATCACACTGTGAAACTGTTGTGCGCTTTCAGAGCATATATTAGATATTTATTGGTTATTTAGGGGAAAAAAACACTACTTCCAAACACCATTCCTTCAATAAAGCATTGCCATAATGTGTTGTGTACTTACGGTAAATGAGCTCAACACACTGCAGTTGTTGGAATTTCGCCTTGCCCTTTTGCCCTTTCCAGCTGAAATTCACCACAACGTTTTGGGTCATTAGAGCTTCCAGCAGTCGACGAGTAGTGGCCCCTACAGTCTTCCCTCCGAGTCCCACGAACCAATTTACCTGTGTCACAGAAAAACAGGTTTATATAAATACCAGGCACTTCCATGGCATCTAGCCAAATGCTCCATAATTCCACTTACCAGCTTTCTTTCTCATGGCTTCGCTAGCCTGTAGTTGGCACTCAGATTCCATGAAGGTGTTGTAGCTTGCAGTTGGCTCCTGAACGGGGAAGTTGTCGTCGTCCTCCTTGTGCTTGTTCACAGCTTCTAACACAGTGCCCATCAGGGCATTCAGGTTATCAAGCCTCAGCCGGATCATGTGTAGAATTTCCAAGGTGTGCCGCCTGAAACCTGAACCATCAACAGGAGCATTGTATAAAATTGTTAAAACCAACTATCAAAGGCAATCCGAAAGGTTTCATACCTTCAGGCTCAGGTTCCTTTTATAGTTTTACTGGCAACCTTACGGCAAGGAGGTGTAGAGCTGGAGGTTGTACTGGATTGCTTAAATGCTGCACAAAAATACACAGTTTCACTGAAAACAAATCAATGACAAATAAGTGACCTCAGGACCGAACAGTCTTAAAACCGTTAGAGGTCGTGAGCACTTATTCTATTTGCTATTGTTCCAGTCAGGAACTATTTTGTGTGTTTTGGACACTGCACAGGAAGGGCACTCATGTGAACAAACACATAGCAAGTAATTTACCCAGTATTTTTTTTTATTCCCGAGGTTTATAAAGGTACTTCTAAGCACAAAGGTGTTATTCCTTTTCCTATGCTACTAGTTTTTCATAGACAGCATCACAGCGGTTTTCACTAGAATCGCTAGAGCTTGCTTGTTCCGATGAGTGTGAATAGGTCTCAATTAGCGCAACACTGTCACTGACACGTCGGGCAAGATTTCGGCGAAAGAGGCGACCTGCAGCACTGTCGGAAGCCGCCATTATGCAACAAAGAAGACATTTCACTAAACACAATTAAGCTTGAGCAGATACTCCTGGCTACCCTCAGACCTGTGCCGACGCTTCACTAGGAGACATAGTTTCCTCATTCTACGCTGCAAATGCACATTGAAGAGTAATTAAAAGTTACTTACCTAATTCGCACATCTCCTCGAAAAGGTGCCCAGCTTCTTTCCCGCGCAAATAACTTCCCGCCTCCCTTTCCTTTCGTGGCGGCGTCGGCGGGTCGGCGGCGCGCGACTTGTAGTGCGGCCATTGCGGCCAGTGTGCAGAAAGCGGATTCGGCCGTTGCTTCGGCGGCATAGTGTATTCTACAGCAAAATCTTTAAATACTCTAATCCACTTGGGATCTTATGTTGATTTTATGTCCGACTCCATTTCTGTGGTTTTGTTTTAAATATGTCTTGAACGTTTTGGCGGTTTTGGCATGGGGGTCAAGCTCTAAAGCAAAAGCCGCATTGCGACGACATCGCGCAATCGCTGTATGAACTTGGCGCGCGCTGGTCGGCTGTTTAAACTGTTTTAACCTTTTTAGCAGCATTTTGGCTTTGCAGTGGTTTCTTTTTTTCCATATTTGATCCCGAAAGCTTATTCGAAGAACCTGCAAGGCATTGCTCGAATTTAGCGGACCAGGATGCAAGGACCTTCTGAGGATGTCCTTAGGACGCCACGTTGATGACGAATTCCGGATGGCCCGTAGGATTCATCCTGCGGACATTCCATGGACTACTTTCAGCGGACGAGGATGATAGGACCTTTTGAGGATGTCCTCAGGATGTTGTGTGTTGACTGGGTTCATTCAATCTCTCCTTTGCGAAATTTGATGACGTAACGTGGGGATCGCAGTACACCCATATGACGATATTTGAATGCTGTTCATAGATTGGACCCGAGCATTGCGTGAACACTCGATTTGGGCTCGTGATAATTACTAGCTCGAGAAGCATTCGGGTAGTGGCCCGTGTCCAATCGCTGCGACGACGACAATAGCCGAGCCATAACAATATCTGGAACTTAGCGCGTGCCCTGTGCTTTGCCAACCCCAGCGCGTGGCTATGATCAACATTGGCGGCATATAATCGGCTCCAGATCACGTGGCCGCTTGTTCTGGCTGCGAGTTGAGGGGGTGAACGCTGCTCGTTTTAGAGCGCAGCTCTTATGGCGCGTTCACACTGGAAGCGGATCCGCGTTCGCGAAGCGGATCCGCGCGTTCTCAACCGCAAAGCGGCTAGGATCGAGCAATTGGAGCGCGTTTTTGCCAACCGCTTCGGGACCGATATCTCCCAACCGCTTTCACGAACCGCAAAGCGGCAACCAATCACGACGTGACGCTGACGTGACGTCAGCGACTTTCGAAACAAGATGGCACCTGCCGCTGGTGAGGCGCCCAAGGCGCTGTAGTGAAGCAATGGTGCTGTAGTCCTAGCGCTGTAGTTTAGCTTTCGACAAATCAGCTGAGAAACTTGATGTTCACGTCCGTCACTTGAATCCGCCGCGAAAAGAGTTGACTGGGTAATTTTAACGGGCTTCGCACCAGTGATTTGGTTCGGGTAAGAGTTTGTTGATTATTCGGGGTGCCACAGCCCAAGCACGCTGCCTGTTTAATCTCGGCCTGTAGAACGTCGGAACCCGCCCCTGAACGACCGAAATGTCAGCTTTTTTACCCACTAGGATAGTCGCGTGAACTATTGAAACTTGAAAGCTTTCAACATCGTGCATGACCACCACGAAAGCCGATAGAGACGTCGTGAGCCTGATTGCGTAGCCAACGCACTACCGCGGAGGGGACAGAGTACCTGCGCCAGCTCGACCTGTAACGTTTACTAAAATAAATAAATAAATAAATAAAGAGAACCTACTCAAAGAATGAATTGTACGTACCAGACAATGCATAGGTAATCCATACGGCGTTTATTTGAGCTTAATGTCAAACAAACAGTAGACTCGATCGACGTGCGAGTGACGAGAGGAGAGTCCGCCGCCAACGAAGCCAGGACCGGCTAGCACCAAACACATTCCTCCGCACCACGGTCCACCCCACCGCTCACAACTTCGAAAATGATAGAAGCGAACAACGAGGTGGGAAAACTGGCCCTCTATCCCGAAAACAAGGTCAGCTATTCATGCGGGAAGGGTCCACTTCGAAGAAAAGGTCGGGGGCATCCTGTTCTGAGTCAGCAAGGCGCGCCTAGCTGGGCTTTGTTGTGAGCGAAGTCGAGGGAATCACAGGTGAGTTTGGCGGGTCTGTGCTTCTTTTTTTCTCTACCTCAATTCATGATGCTCGCGGACACCCCGGAGAAAAATATTCCGAGTGCCAAAATAGCAAAAGTTTGGATTTGGATCTTGAATTAAAATGGATTTTGGATTGTAAAACAGGGTTGCCAAACGGAAGTCTCAAAATATCACGCGTGATCGCCGAGAAACCGCCAACCGCCTCTCGGTGTGTCTGAACGCGGTCGCTCGCGAACCGCATCCGCGACCGCTTCGCGAACGCGGATCCGCTTCCAGTGTGAATGCGCCATTAAGGCCCATACGCACATTCGCGTTTGAGCGCGGTGCGTTCCGTAGCGGCAAGCGGGCGCGTTGCGCTGCGAAGACCGCTTGCGCCAAACTTGTACGCACAGTTGCGTTGACACGCAGTCAACCGCAGTCAAGAGCCAATAAGAACGCGCTATCGTCGCTAGTGGCTCACCAATGGTAAGCGAAATCCAAGGCAACATGGCGGCGCACGGTGACAGCGTCGAAGTGTTCGATCTTGGGAGAATTCTCGCCGGCTTCCCCGATGTTTTGTCAAGCTTGAACCATCGCAGCCTCGGAAAATACAGTCCCCACCGCTCCCCAAAACGAAAAAGCAAGCGCTGCGACCGGCGAACCGGATACGTCTCGCCGAGTCGGCCGGGTGGGGCGAGCGAACACCGTCACCCCCTCTCCTCTTTCGGCTTCTGATTGGTCGAACGCGCCCGAACGCACCGCCACGCTTCGGAAAGTTGAGCGAGTCTCTACTCGCTTGCGTCGCGCTACCGAGCGTTGCGGGAAGGCGCGCGTCGCTCTGCAAGCGACCGCGCCTAGCCGCAAGGACTCCGCAACGCACTCAAACGCGTTCAAACGCGAATGTGCGTATGGGCTTTTAGGGGCCCGTTCCCGGCTTGAGCGGCGTCGCCGTCGGCGTAACCAAGGTCATCCCAAGGTCACGTGACCCCTCCAAGGTCATCCCAAGGTCATGTGACCCCCGAGGTCACCTCAAGGTCACGTGACCTTCAAGGTCACCCCAAGGTCACGTGACCCCAGACGTCACGTGCCCCAAGGTCACGTGACTCCCCAAGTCACGTGACCCCCGAGAGGTCACGTGACCCTCCCCCTCGAGGTCATGTGACCACCCCTAGGTCACGTGACACCTAAAGTCACGTGACTCCGCAAGTGACTCCGCGAGTCACGTGACCACCCGAGGTCACGTGACTTCTCCCCAATCACGTGACCCTCAAGGTCCCCGAAGGGAAAATCCATCAATGTAACGCTGTTTGGCAGTCAATGTTTTCTAGTGGACCGCTGACTGTGCCTGACTGTACTTAAGCATGTCTGATTGGACAACAAGTTACTCTGACCGACAGTCAAACTCCAGTCAGACCCCGCTTGTCGGCTTTCTGATGGTTTCCTGGTGGCAGTCGGCCGCCGCGAAATGCCATCAGGATGTCCTGGTGGTGATTCTGACTGTACATCGATTGTCTCTGACTGTACGTCAGAAAGCTTTGACGTGCAGACGGAAGTACGGTCAAAGGACGTAAAGTTCGTTCGGATACCACTATTTCGTCAAATCTATGAAGACGAAAAGTAATCTATGCACGAGAAAACGAGTTCGGGACGTGAGCCCATAAAACCGCTGATGTTAGAGATGTGACACGCAACCGACCGACAACCTTGATCAGAAGCCCGCCGAAGCCGCCGAAGCGTGGAACACGACACTTCGTACTTCGCTTCGCCCATGGAGGCTTCGCCGAGCTTTCATTAAGGATCGCTCTCGACTCGTTTTGTTTGCCCGCTTGCTCCAACCTGTCGATCCTGCCCGGGCTCTACAATATCTTATGTTGTAGTAGAATTTCTACTCGACAAGACCCAGCTTGTTGTGAGTTCCGACGATGTAAGGGACTTTAGCGGTGTAGTTAAATACGACAAGGTGTACCAGGTCTACTGGGCCGATGACGCG